ACCACGTTCTTCGCAAACCATCTCCCTTTCACACCTTTCTTGAAAGCTGTTTAGCTTCACAAATTTGTAACCATGTATTTGGTCTCACCTTTGACTTGCACCTTAGACATATTAGGTGGTTCTCCATCTAGATCTAACAATTTTTTGTTTTTCAACAACATCCAAGATGCAGCTTTTTCAATGCAACCACATATGAAACTTTGCAAGATAGGAGAGGTCTGGGCTGCTACTCAATTACATTTGACTTTTGGATGCAATTTTCCCCTCTCCAGAATGACTGAAGAGTCATTCATGAGAATATTTTGGTTTCCAGGAAATGTGTCATTTAGACACTGCTCCCTATATTGTTTCTCCAAGGTTCTCTGTTTCCCCACCGGTATACAGTGTGCACAAAAGGGATGGGAGGATGTCAAGTGGAAAACAATTCTGCTTAATACTATCTATTCATCCACATTTTACACGCCTTCTTTTCAGGTTTCCTGTTTTGAATAGGACAAACTACCAAAAACATCAATAAGACTTTCTTGTTTTTCCTCAAAACTTAGTGACACAAACAACAAAAATCTGACCATTGTTCAGGAACTAGCATTCTGACAATACGAACTGTCATGCTAACAAATACCTTCTTCCTTTGCTATCTATTTTAAACTTAGTTTACAGCTCTGAAGCTTTTTTATTCCAAATCATCTACTGTGAAGAACCCTAGTATGTAATTAAGGTTTCTGTGTATTTTAAAAAAGGCGAAACATGAAGAATAATCCAGGATATTGCCACACAGAGTTCCTATTGTCAGAGCTAAGTAATTCAGACCTGGGGTTAGCTAGTTAACGTTAAAAGGGAGGATAGTTTTGTGCTCACTACATCTCATTTTATTTAATTTAAAAGAACTAGGCAATTTCCCCTCTCTCAGCACATAATGCAGATCATGGCTGAGGAGATCTAAAGTAATGTTACAGCTGCTTAGCTCTTCCCTTGCACTAAGTTTTGCATTCATTTCTGCTGTAGTCTGTATTTCTATTTTATAATGAAACATACAGCCTAGTTATTTATAGGCTTTCTAAGGATTAACTGCACTCATAAGAGCAAACCCTCAAGAGGTTACCTCATCCTCTTAAACTTCACACACTACAATCCCAGAGATAGCTGGCAAGCACAGCCAAGAGAGAAAAAAATAATCCCACATCTTGCTAATCCTTTAACCAATCACCTCATGCAACAGTGGAGAGGCCTCTCCAAGGCCTACAACGCTAACTGTCTCAAGAGTGCTGTCAATCCAAAAGATACATATTTCACAGAACCATCAGCAACACACCTCAAAAGGCAAAATAAGATAGCCAGCTACCCAGTGGTACACCAAAATCATGCATCTAAAATGCAATACTACAAAATATCCAGTTTGCTGCTTGTATTCCCCGTTCAAATACTTGCATATTCTACTCATAAACCTACCTAGTTTATAAATTTGAAAGCACATCTAACAAATTTTGCATTGTTTACATCTAGATAGACCAATTTAGCTGTCCCTTATACTTCCTACCACAAACTTTGAACACCTTTGATTTTCCAGCCAAATAATCTCAAAAAACACCCCAAATAAACAAACTAAAACCATAAAAACACACAAAAAACCCAAAACAAACAAACAAAAAAACAACCCCAAAAAACAACTTTAAGTTAAATCATAATCATTTTTTTTATATCATAATTTGGATTCTCCCTTAAACCCACATATGGATACTGCCTGCAGCTGCAGCAGTATCAGGGATTTAAGAAGTGCACTCATCTCTTGGAAGTTTTCTGGTTTGTTTATTCTTTCTCTAGAAAAATTGCTACTCATTGAACTTCAGTATAAAAGCGGTGCCATAAAATAAAAATAAAAAGCCAGGAGGTTGTTTAGCCACACTGCTAAGCCCATGGTTGGAAGTTAAAGCCTCCAAAAACATGCAGCAAAAATATAAGGCTATGACTGCTAATAACCAAGTACCATCCACAGTTCTTTCCTGAAGTAAGAAGTTTTAAACAACACAGAGGATTAGCACTGCTCATAAGCTCATTGAGTCCAACTGTATTACTTTTTCTTTTTTAATGTGTCAATTAATTCTCTTTTGTACACCCTTAATATACACCAATTCCAAACTTGCTTTTGACTTTGTAGGTAAACTCTCTGAAAAAAATCTCAGTCCCACGAGACTACAGAGTTCCTGTCTTCACAGGCTGCCATCTAACAGGCTTCCACCTTTTCAACTATAAATAATAAAATTTAATAAACACATTGTTATGTATTTATATATATTATCTTAATACTTAAAGTATGAAATAAATATAGTAAAAAAATCATCTTGTATTTCAGAAAGTTTTTCCCACTAATTAAAGGCTTTGTTCCCTTCCAGCAGCAACAGGAATTGCTGTAACTCAGGCAAGCCAACTGCGAATCTTTTGAACCCAATGGCCCATAAAGAGAAAGCAAGGAGGGAATAAAAGTCAAACCCTAACAAAAATGCAGATTTTATCCAGTCAAGAGAAAATACAAAAGTGAGTATCAGCTATGAAAATTAAACTTTCTTCCCATCTCAAAACTTATTGTACATAAGTATTCTCAGTAGTATGATCTCAGAAGCTGCCTGATTGCATCTCCTACTGTTGGCCCAGCCTATCTGCATTCTGAAAAGAAGTTTCTTGATCTTTCACTGCCACAATAGATGTCTAAACTGTTAAATTACTATTCTCTTATCTGAAAGACTTTGCACTTTACCAGCATGGCCCTTCCATTGTTCTTTATGCTTAGCCGGATCCCTGAACAATACTGACAGCTGCTACCAAACTGGGGTGTGCTCACTCTCAGTGCAGCTGCCGCCTGTAGGAACAGACAGGCTTCTGATGCATCCTCCCTTCTGAAAGAGGGCTTGACACACTGTGTGCTCAGTGCAAGGGAGCAAAGGTCCACTGAACTGTCAACCCAATTTTATGCTATTCAAGTTTTCTAGGATGAACACCGTCCCTTTCAAAAAAATCAAGCATATGTCAGAGCATGAAACTTACTGTGCAGTACAAGATAATTACTGATCACGTAAGACTGCAAAAGATCACTGGGCCATACATCTAATTTTAGCATGCATCTTTTTTTAGCATGCATGCATATTCACAGGCAAATTCTGTGCACAAGGTACTAAATTCCTAACTTGTAGTTTGGGATTTGTACAGCATTATTCAGAAGTATTTCAGAAGACACAGAAAAGTAGGAAAGTATCTCTTCTACTGAATCTGAGGCATCTGAAAAACAGAAAAGGTGGAGGCATAGAAGCTGGCTCCCAAAGACCTGCCCACTTCCCCTCCTCTACACCCCCTCAAAAAAAAAAAAAAAAAAAGAAAAAAGGGTCTTAATTGCATGTGGTACTTGTAGATCCTATAGCTTTTAGAAGACTGTATCATGCAGACTATAAAAAGGGGTACGTGACATGCCTGAGATGATAAAATTTGGTTTGGCTAACTTGCACTAGGTCCCACATTGATGTTTTAGATGTATTTTAATATGTATTTACTACATAAAATATTCTTTAAAACTAGTTCAATAAAAAGGTTTTTCTTTCAATTTTTCATCCTGAAGAATTAATTAAAAAAAAAGGCAAGAAAGTACATTTCTCTAATCTTTGCTAATCAAATACCACAAATCTACATGTGTTGTATTTCAAAGATCAAATCAGGTGCTTATACAGTAATTCATTAAACAAACAAAGCATAGAGGAGATTGTGATAAATACAGATGTAATTGTGTGGGTTTCTAAGATGCGATTAGCAAATCAACTGAGTAATAGTCAAAATTTGATACGAAGGGGAAAACCAGCACATATTTAAAGGGCGGGGGTTATGTTTATGCAAAACTAATCTGTCAAGTGTAATAAAGCAGCTTGAATAAAATTTAAGATGAAAATCCACTGAAGCTCCCCATTTCAGGAAGGAGAAGGTATTAAAGGAAATGAAGTTCACCCTCCCAGTTTATTTCACCTAATTGACTGCCAATAGCTTACCACAGGCAAACCAACTGCAGATCTGCAATTGAGAAACTGATGAAAGGAGCATTTTCAAGCTGAGGCTCATTCTTTAATCCTCCCTCACTCCTCTTTTTTTTTTTTCCCCATCTCCAGTTGGGATGCAATTTTAAGCACAGATGGATTAACTGGTTCCATTGTCTGTAGACGTCATTGGACTATGGCACTGTTAATCCATACAGCAGCATGTCTAATTACCATTACAAAGTGTCTGAGGGAACTACAAAGACCAGCAGGGCATCTTCTCACAAGCAATTAAAATAAACTGATAAATGAGTAATCTGAATCCGCTCAAGGCGCTAACATATGAATAAAATCAGAAAGCACGGGTTCTTGTTTCGACTACTTCTTTCACTTAGTCTGGAAGGGCAGAAAACATGAGAAATATTCTAGACTTAGTGGTAGGGGAAATGAACTCATACAGTGGAAGGAATGTATGGTTTGAAGTTCCTTAATACAAACCAAATGACTTGTGATTGACAATCAGTCACAGGCAAGTAGTAGCATATTTAGAAGCACATACATGGTGAAAGGCTGTTAGAACACTGTGTCAAGACAATTAATACTAGTTCAAAAGCAAGTGAAGTTTCTTTTCAGTAGCTTGCTAATTTAAAATTCATTAAAGATTCACAAGAAAGGGAAAGAAAGAATGAATAGTTGTACAGGCTCCAAGAACTCAAGTGTCACAAAAAGTATGAGGCAAAGGCAACTAGATCAACTGACACACAATACCTACAAATAAACAAGCAATTCTCCTAATCATTATATTTCTTGCAGAAAATGTTTTGTTATGCTCAGCACTGCTGTACAGAGCAACAAAGTAAGCTGTTAACTTTATTCCTGCTAAAATCTATGTGTAGCAAGGCAAACACGTCACCAACACTGAGATATCAAAATATCAAGCTTATTTTAAAAATAGCAAAGCAATAAGATATGAAAGCAAGTTATACACACTGTAGGAGGTAGACCTGGAAGGCCACGTACCCCGATGATGGCATTCAGCTCAGCCATGGTCACTTGTTTGGCACGTTCTACAGCTTGGGCCACTTGTTGCTGATGCTATTAAAAAAAAGAAGGGGCATGGGGAGGAATTTGTGTTAAGGTATTGTCCACATCAAATCAAACCAAAGTAAGAAACACTTGAGTAACTCCAGAAACTCAAGCCATCTACTGCAAGACATCTTGCACAGGTAAAATGCAACAGTGCCCCATTTCTCACCTGTTCGAAATTAAACAACAGCCCTGAAGGCAACCAGCTCACCTCTTTCCCCATGCCACTTCAATATTAATTTTCTGGCAAATGAATGATCACTTTCTAACTGAGTTGACAGGACAATAATGTCAACTTCACACTAGTGTCAGTTTTAACACTTAAATATTCTGTGGCCATACAGCAAAACCTACTGAAATTTCAAACAGGGAAAAAAAGTGCTGAACTAAACAAGAATTACAAATATTCTTCCTAAACTCTAGAATTTGAAAAGCCATAACCAAGATAATAGGCTTCAAAATTTAACAGCAGCTGCTCACAATACACTACAACTGCAGTCATTCAGACCAGATGCAGTTTGCAACCTTAAACGATATTTTGCATCTGAGCTAAGTACACACCTTTACAACTGAAATTTGATACAAATTATGTCAATAAGATAAGCATGCTTATTTCACTAGCTTCACATTTGACAACTGAATATCAAATAACTAATCACCATGATTAGAAACTAAAGCATCTTGTCGCACTGGTAATATTTTACAGACTCCCACTCTCCCCAGGCAATGGACGAGGCTGAGCCATTGTCACTAGTTCGAACTCAGATTTGTTAGACCAAATTAGCAGGGGGTTTGCACACTTCAGCTATAACAGATGTTCCTTACACTTGTATATTGTGATAAAATTAACATCTTAAAACTAGCTAATTTGCAAACAGAAAAGCAACATAATTGCACTTAAACAGCTGAACAGTTTTACTTACTTCCTGAGACAAAAATGGGATGACTTGTGCACAAATTGTATTCAATCTCTTGGCGATTTCTGTCTATAGAGGAAAAGTATTTTGATTAAAACTGTGGTTTAGGTTTTTTGACAAATAGTAACTAGTGTACAAGATTATATTAAGTTCACACAGTGAAGAAAGTAACAGAAAATCCACATCTTCATTCTACTGCAAATATAAGTTAACATATAAGCCCATGTGAGGAGAGAGATTTCGTAAGCTACTGTAGGACATCTGCCATGTCTAAAGCACCTAATCTGTATACACATTTAAGCACAAATCTGGTCCTTGTATATTGGTCATTAAAAAATAAAGCATTTTTTAAATCTAGTAAGTCCAAGATAAAGCCTTTTAAAATGTAGATTTGTTATTAGTCAAATTATCAAGTAGCATAACATGAAGATGACAGGCATGGATGAAAAATATTTGTCACAATCAATTTTATCTGCCTATTAGAAGCTAAAATTATTTTTGCTGACAGAAACAGACCATCATGAGTACAAAAGAAATACCAAAACAGAAGCAAAGCAGAATGAAGAAAAAAGATACAGACGTCTAAAACATCCATATTGAGAGAGAATTAAAATAATGCAGACAAGAAAGAATCGGATCAGAAAACGTTATAGTCAATAATAGCAAATTAGTGAAACCATGAGTAACAGGAAAACTATAAGGCTAGGAGCCATCAGAGAACGGAACAACCCTCCACTGAAACAAGCAGAGAAGACAGCAAGTCAAAGTGTTTGAGTCTCACTTTTTGACAGCCTTATCTCCCCCTTTTGGCCTGTACACTTCAACACAAGATTTCTGGAGGGGAATGGGGATCTTTTTCTCTCATTATTCAGTCTTACCTGTGCTTACAGATTTTTCAGGCCTATACATCTGCCTACTATTCAAAACAACCCCTATAACTAACCCTTAAGGTACTTGCACAACTCCTACAGTTTTTCTTAAAAACATCTGCAGCCTCTGTAGCACAGTTACACTAAATCAAAATTAGCATCTATATGTGAACACAGTCTGTGTACAAAACACTTTGAAGAGCTCTTGTCAGTCTATCATTAACCCATATAGGTATTTCCTGGGGTATCTGTTTCAAGGCATAAGAAGAGATCCCTGCTGAGACTTGTTAGGCCTTCCATGAAATGACATGCATAAACCTGAGCAAACACAAACTTTTTCCAAAGTCAGATGAAAGCATTGCTAACTTGTCAGACAAACCCTTTCCTGAGCATTCCCATCATCCTGAATTTTTCAGGAAGCCACTGTGATGTGCTGATCCTTACACATCAGTCAAGCAGTAATCAGGATACACCCTCCACAGTATGTTTCAGCAAACAGGTGATTGGGATGTAAATACAACTGGCAAGCTTTAACACCTCTTTCCCCACCTCTGACAGACACAGGGGAAAATGCTGTACAGTCCTGAAATGTGTAAAACACTATGCTCTGACATAACTCGAAGTACTCCACCTAACCAAAATCTGGCATTTGACACTGGCATTTGACACATCCACTCAAAGTTTTGCAGAGACAAGAGTCTCCAAAGTAGTTCTGGGACATATTCACCCCAGGACAAAATGGTTCTGCTTAAGTAAGGGCAATGAAGTGACAGTTGCCTTACAACAAACCTTGTTCCTCCGCGACACAGGGAACAGATTCCTGTTCTCAACAGAAACAGCCCTATTTCACAAAGTACCACAGTGGCCTGGTTCCTGTTTTGTTTGGAACACAACCACAAAATATCCATCATCCTGGGCATAGCCCTTATTACTGGTACTACATACCTACCAGCAAAGGCAATTAAAGGAAGTTACTAGCTTAACTATTATCAGTTACCAGACTTAACTATCACCAATTCTGTTGGTACTTTCAGCGTCTGTTAACAAGTGGAGGGGGAAAAAAAAAACCAACAAAAAAAACCACACCAAGAAAACCCTACAAAACCACTACACACACACACACATACACATAGTTCCACTCCTGAACTCCTCCACCCCAATTGTGAGAACCTATTTGCTGAAGGGCATTTTTTCACATGCTTAGTATGTCTCCCCAGAAAGCAAGGTATGTTAGCTATGGAAAGGAAGTCTGTTACATAGCAATCTATCTGGCTGATGTTTAGCTAAAATGTTTGAGGTCCAAGAAGTTAATTGCCCTAGACCAATGGGACTACCTTTGTTTTCAAGACAGAAGCCAGGCTGAATCATAGCAGGTGATAAAGAGGGGAAAGAAGATTAAAGTACAAAACACAAATTGGCTTCTGCTGAAAAGTTCTTTGGCCTGTATGGCCTACACAAAGGTCTCCCTATTCTGTAATACTGAGATAAGTATCCTTATTGTAGCTGTAAGGAAATAAAAAAATGTTTCAATAGAGTCTGTAAAATACACAAGTTGTCAAATTACTGGATTTTCCTGGGCAGATCCCAAATATCTAAGCTTCACAGTGACAACACTGCATAAAGGATGGCACACACTCAAGAAAACGCAACATTGCGCGATAATTACCAGTCCCAAAACACAAAACAGTTAGTTTGTTGGGAATTTTACTTGTTTGTGGGGTTGTTTGTTTAGTTGTGGGGTTGGTTTTGTTTTAGTGTTGTTCTTTTTTGTTGTTTTTTTTTTTTTTTTGGGGGGGGGGTGGTCTTGGTTTGGTTTTTATGATTTTCTTAAAAATAAAGAAAACAAACAACTTTCCCCCTTTCCCAATCAATCTTATTTTTAAATTACTGTGTATATATACAGCATTAGAGTAACCTATATATCCCAGATTTAGGGCTCATATATTTGAAAGTCTTAAAAAAGGTACTTATCAGTTACTACTACAGGCCTCCCAAAGTAACACACCTATTGTTTAACTGCTGATCTTGAGACAGATAGGGCAAGCCAGAATAATGAGTAAACTGATAGTACTGAGCACAGGTATGAAAAAAAAAAGTATCTTTCAGAGTTTTTCTTTACCAAAAGAGGGCATCACTGATAATCATATACTAATAACACCTTTAATATCCATCCACAATAAATATAAATGTACATGCCACAAATAAGTTTATTTCAAAATTCCTTGCTGCTGTTCCAAGTGCCAGTTAAGAGACATTTACACTGAAAAGGAACTGAAAAGACTACATACTACATAACAAAAGTCTGCTTGCATTTAAAAAGCAGTTTGCCTACCAGAGGTATTTCCCTCACACAATTAAATAAAGTACTTAAAATTATTTATCCACTATGAGATTTCATACATATCCTGTTTCCTGGCTTCAAATGTTTAGTAGAAATTATTCACAAGCATTTTAAAAAATATTTTCATTCTCTAGTGAGTTATGAAAATCAAAGTTTAATGCACAATTCACCTAATCTTGCCTATTAAGAGTTCAAGAGGTAGTTTTTGGAATAGAGAACTTTCATTACTTTAAATATAAATCTAGCTATTCAAAAAGAAATATATGTTCAACTTTCAAGGTGAAATTATCTTCAAGTTTATATGCACGTGTGTGTATATACATACACACACACACTCACGCTCATTCTTGAAAGCAAAAACCTCTTCTGAAGGAATACAGAAGAGCTTTGTTAATCAAGAGTAGACATCAGTAATTGGTAGCATTAGAATAAGCTACATATTATGGATTTGGGTCTCATGCATTTGAAAGTCTTAAGAAAGGTACTTACCAATTACTACTAGAGGCCTCCCAAAGTAGCATAGCTATTATCTCAATGCTGATCTTGAGATACATAGGGCAAGTCAGAAGAATGAGTAAACAAAGAAAACTCTGCAGAAAGCCACTTGAGCATAGACAAACACGACTAAATGCCCGTTTTCTTTGGCTCCTTGGTAAAGCAGAATGTGGAAGCCTGCATCTCTCATGAAACCCCTCCTAGCTCTATGACAGCTCTCAGCAAAGCATCTGAAGTACCCTTAACTGTTTGTGTTCTTAATGCAGAGCCTCTTGAATGCATTCATTTTTAACAGAGGACCTGAGAGTGGCGCACATCAAAGCATGACAAAACTACATCATTCACTGATTCTTGCTGTTGTAATGATTGTCTTTTGATTTATTTGCAAATGGCAAGCTTACTAGACCCCTAACTGAAGTACTACCATACTTTCTGGAATATTATTAAAAATTAACATGACAGAATTCAGCTGCAAATTATAAACTTAAGATGAGCCAATGGATTTTTCTTCACTCTTATTTTTTTGCCTCACTTCTATCTAATGAAAGACTTAACTGTTTTGAACTAACCATTGCCAAACTCAAGTGTCTGTACTTTTGTCCCTTGCTAAAGTGAATTCTTAACATGATGACAGAGAACAAAGCACCCAGACTACTAAATACATATTCAAATAAGTAATTTTACTCAACACATAACACAGAGCTTAGATACACAATTTTACTTTTATTTCCTTCTGCCTTTTTGAAAAAAAAAAAGCATTAACATGTCTTCCTCTACGGTAGTCTATTCCAGATTATTTCACATTTTGACAACCTGTACTTTCCAAAGCACCATTGAACATACCATATTTAAAATTAACATGATTTTTTTAACTACCAATTTGTACACTGAAATGAAAAGAAGTAAGTATAATACAAGTAATCAAACTCTATTTCTCATCACACCTAACACCCATGTGTATTTTATCACTAGCGGTGGAAGCCCTAGTCTATGGGAGCCACCAGTCTCACTTCTGAGTGAAGAATTAATTAATCACCTTCCAGCTTCAGGGGGTTCCAACAATAAGAATTTGGGGTTTGCTCCATCAGTACCTACCACACATGTCCCAGTAGTGACTTTTAAGTACAGCATCCATGGTCATCTAAAGCAAAAACTCCATCTTACAACACATCATTTTTAACAATGTGTTGTGATAACCGCTATACTATTAGTGAAGAGACTCCCGAGAGCTGTCCAGACCTTCCTACCTTCCCTTACAAAACAATGCTCTGCTAAAAATGTCCATTTTATGTCTAAAGCTTATTATTCTTTCTTGAAAACTGCACTTCCTATATCATAGAGATCAGTATCTGAAAGCACTCTAT